TGTGTGTGTGTGTGTGTGTGTGTGTATGTACAGTATGTATATATAAAACTGCAAGAATTAAAACTAATTGAATCTCATTTTGTTAATGTCACATTCAATAATCAAGTGTGTTAGGACTGAACCCTTAAGTTTAATCTTTGTACCACTGTCCTATTGAATTTGAGTCTTGATCAAAACTCCAATTCATCCTAACTAATAATCCACTCAAATCACACTAAAACCAATCACTGAACCCATTCCCCCCTGCAGCCTTCTGCACATCAAAAATAATAAGCAAATAGCTGGAACTGCATGGGGACACCTTGTAGCAGGGATGTGAAATTGGATCCCACAGCTGCAGGGATGCTTGTCGGCTACTTGTGCCACCATTTAAATCCCGACCTCTAATCTAATCAGGCCAAGTGTGAAAAAGAACTAAAGGGAAGTTGTTGATTTGACCTAACAAGAGATTTGAATGGGGAGGTGGGGGGTGTCTGGCGAGGCACCTAATAAACATAGCCTATTTTGGAAGGAGAAGGGGGRAAAAAAAGAGGTTTGCTTTCAGATTTAGATCCTTGCATTCACGCACTGAGAGGGATGTGGATTGAAGCCTCTGCAGGTCGTCCAGCAAACAATGACAGGGCAAAAATAAAAACATTAAAAAATTTAAAAAGTCCATCAGAGGGTGAACATGAAGTCTAACGCACGTGTCACCTGCTTGTTAACAATAAACAGCCAATATTTGTTATTTTTGCAAAGAAATCACACGAGTCTTACTTTTCGCCATCAAACTCTTCACCGTGTCCGCGCGCTTCGACGCGTCTCGCTCCAGATCATCCAAAGGCCTGGAGAGGTTCGCCTTGAAGTTCCTGTAAAGGTGCATCATGTAGAACGGCAGGTGCTGGTGGTACCCGGCCGGTCGCTCGGGGCCGGAGAGGCTGTGCGGGGACCTCAAACCCCCCTCGTCTCCGGGTCTCTGAGCGCCATGATGAGCCAGCAGCGCCAGCAGCAGCGATGCGTGCAGCGCGACGCCCAGAGGAGCTCCGAGTGAGCGCGTCATGCTCTCAGGACAACATCCCTCCAACGGGGAAGATTAAGGGCTCTGCCCCTTCTCTTTATACACACACATATATATAAACCCTCACCCACCCCAGTTTCACTTACACCTTRCTGAGAACATTAAAGGAAGCTGACGTGCGTCCTCGCGCCTTGCTACCTGACAGCTCGTCATCCTTTCAGTTGGTAATGAGCTGCTGGGTTTACTGGTCCTGCTCCTATAATTCCACATCCCACAATGAAGGTTTCTGCTATTTGTTTAATTGTGTCAGGCCTTCCCATAATGGCAGATATAAAATAACCATTAAGTTGTTTCACCAACTTTTATGTCAAAAAGAGTTGCGCACCTTATTTTTTAAAGTCAATTAGCTGTGGCGGCCATCTTGAATCGGATTAACTATTATTGTGCAGGAGAAATTTTAAAAGACGCAAGCACAAACATTGTCGCCCACCTTAAAATGCTCTTTTAAGTAGATTTCGCAAGCTGCAGTTGTTGCTGGCTGAAGTTGATGATTTAATATCAATCACTAATTTTTTTTATTCAGGTGTAGTTTGTAGAAAAACAGATTAAATGTRCAAATTTTCCTCCCAAAATAAAATAAAATGAAATATATCGCATTAAAATAAATATTAAAACTGTGTAAGACACTTCAAACWATTTAACGCCACTGATAAAGCTGTATATTTTTTATTATTTTTAACCATATCTGCCACAACTAAACCGGAAGTATCAAATATGGGCATTTAGTTCTTAAATTTGTAAAGATGAAAGATTAAAAAAAAGATTGGGGCAGCCCAGCATAAAATGAGATACAAATCAGCCGAAACATTTTGACTTCTGTCTTAACAGCAGGGGTAAAACCATAAACCGGAAACAGACTCTTATCTTTCTTATTTCAAAATTTATCAAAAGTATTAGTTTTTTTCAGTCTTTCTGGTTTTGCTCTGCTGAGAGCATMTGTGGACGGATGCGGTCGGTCTGCGCATGCGCCTTTCGCCTGTATCCACACACACCAGCCAAATCCTTCTCCTYAAATTCCCCCAAAAGAAGATAAAAAAAAAGGAAACAAACTATCAATGTTGGGGCTTTTTTGGCTTTCGCTAATGCAAACCGAGAACTGTCCGCCTTAACGCCATTTCCCACGAAAGACAAACCGAGCTTGGTCAAAAACGTTTTCTCAAAAGGCTTTTTTCGCCGACCGTGTGCTGAAATGGTGAGTGGCTTTTTTTTAAGTTTACTGGCTCTTGTTGCAATGGCAGCCAAAAAAAGTGGGGTTTTAGTCCCTTTTTTTTTGGACGCTGAGACGTCACCGTGTTCATAAAACCTCTAAAGTTCACGTCTATTTGGGTTAAAACAAGAACCGAAGCAGCAAAAGCATGTTTTGTATTCATGATGCTAAGTACTACTGCAGTACTTGTGTGGTTGATGGAGCATACATGTGCTTGGCACCCCCCACTCCACTCCACTCCACTCCACTCTAGGCTCCATCCAGTTCAGTCTCGGTCCTGTGCATTGCAGCTGATGATGTCAAAGCACACAGTTCCCTTTGAGTTTGAGTTTTGTTTTTTTGTGTAGCAGTCAAATGACGATTTAGGGTTTAACTTCATCCAAAAAGCACAGTAATCTAAAAATACTTCAATAACTACTTAATTTCATTAAAATGCAATGCATCCAAGTAACAATCAGGATGGATTATGCATTGCATTCACCTCAGTTTTTGCATTCATAAAAAAGTGGGCAAATTACTCCTCAGAACAGCTAAAATGAACACATGAGCAACARTAAAATTCTATTAGTGATAGACCCCTATATTCATATTTTTTTTGTTTTGTTCAAAAAATGATCTAATAATAAACAAAAATTAGGATTTTTATACACTCCTTTGTTATTTAGTGCCTTAAAACTTGCCATCTTTCTAAACTTGGCWGAAAAGTAAGGAAATTTGTGTTTGATAGATTATTTGTTGTAACAATGCTTCTTATAGCGGTCACCCGATTGGCAGCAAGCTCAAAACAAGTGACAATAACAACAGCAAAATAAACTGTTTGGCAATGGGAGAGAATATACATACATACGTACGTACGTATATATAATATATATATATATAGAATTTGGCTAGAATTTGGCGATACGATACATATCATGACAGAGGGGTCACGATACGATATATCCCGATATATTTCAATACTGTAAACAAGGCGATATATTGCGATATTTTTGGTCCAAAAATTATATTAAATAAAAACCTCTTACTGGAAAAAATAAACAAAAAACGAAAAACCATTCAGCTATCGGAGCATGAAGCTAATGTTTACTTACAATGCTAATGCTCTCTTACTCTCTGGCGCTCAAGAGGTAGAGGAGCCAAATGGCTGGCTCACTGCTGCAAACTAGTGGTCAGAGGCTGAACTACAACATAAAAATGAACGGCTGGCAGGAAAGTTGACATTTTAAACCTTAATAAAAAAATCGATACAGGGCTTTAGAATATCAAAACAGTATCGGGAAATGAAATATCGCTATATTTCGGTGTATCAATATTTTTTACATGGTTGGGCGATATTGACAAAAAAATTAATCACGATTAATTGTGGTATTTAGCCGATAACGATTAATTTGACGATTAATCCCCAGGAGTCCCTGGACACCCTTATGTCCTGGTCACATGACTAATTTAGTTGGAAAGATTTGCTCTTCATAAAAATCTGTTCCAAACTGTCAAAATTACAGACAGGCTATGCATTCGGGCTATACATCAAATTTTAAATTGTGTTGCTAGATAAATAAATTTCAGAATTTATTTTTTTATGTTCGTTATATTTAAAGCGGAGAGGAGCACCGAGTGGACTGACTGGGTAAATATCTAGTTAATCTGCCTGGTGACATTAATCGTATTAATTGTCAAGTGCTAAAAAACAATCGATTAATGTTTTTCTGACGATTAATTGCACCCAATACGATTATGTCCAACCCTAATATATATACAGTATATATATATATATATATTTTTTTTTTTTACGTGTGCAACTTACATTAGCTCTACTGCTGCTCATCCCACAAATGCATGTTCCTTACAAATGTGGCATTTTTTTAATAGAGAAGCGTTTTTACAACAAAGAAATAATCTACCAAACAAAAATCTCCTTACTTTTTGTGCTAAATATAGTTATAATCTGACCTAAAGTTGTTGTTTCATAATCATGTTTGTCTACATGTATTGTGAGTRTAGAAAAGTCTTCAGGTCAAATCACATGATGCCCTTTGATGCATTGTATTTGAGGTCCCGGGTTTTTGCTTTCTTCAGCCSCTCCAGCTGGGTCCAGTCACCTMTCTCTAGGCATATCAGTTTACYTCAGCGTCCAAGGGGAGGACAGAAACTGGCAGATCAAACCATGAAAATCACAATTAATCGAGTGAGAGCGCGAAACTGCTCAGTGAATGAACAGCTGGGTGATAAATGACCTCGCTAAACAGTCGCTTTGTTTTGAAAAAGGGGCCTGAATGTAAAGGTTTTACTCACCCTCCCATACCGCACGGGGGAGCTTAAAAAGTTGGAAGATTTTCAGGTTACCTTTAATGGTAACCTGTCTGGTCATTTTTGAGTGATGTTTTGTCAAATATATATGAATGGAAAGAAAGGGTTCATGCCGGGTCTTAAAAAGTCAAAAATTTGAAAATCAAAATTTTAGGCCTAAAAAAGTCTTAAAAACACCCAGATTTTCATCCAAGGTCTTAAATTTAATTTTGTCAAGTCTTAATTTTTTCTCATTTTGATCATCCCTGAGAACCGTTGGCTGCATAAATAAAGAAAGTTAAGAGTCGTAATCAGAAGTTGACACGATCTGTCTTCATGAAATGCTGTTTGCTACTGGTCATGATTAAACTACAAATCCCATGAAAACTGCAGGCAAAAATGACACAGTTTACTTCCATGTTTTTGTCCTCTTTGCCGCTACAACCCCCCGCATACGTACAGCGGCTTATTTACCTGCTCAAAAAAACAGTTCAGTCATGTCCATTGCTCGTTGTTTAAACATGGGAAAGTGTATTTTCAGTGAGACTTGACTTGATATCAGTGATTTTTTTTCACTCAGTTGAAAATGGTTCACAGCAGTCAGATATGACCGTTTCATTCAAATAATTTAGTGTTCTTCTATTAAAATGAAATATTCTTTAATAACTAAATTGATAACAATAAAAGGTTTCTATTATAAAATTTCTGGGACCATTTGAATGTTTCTGTTAATGCGTCGATTTGGTCTTAAATGTCATTACTAATGGTCTTAAAAGGTCTTAAATTTAACTTACTGAAACCTGCATGAACCCTGGTAAGATAAGCCTTTGCCCAGGCTAGGCTAATGGCTAGAGTGTTTAATATAGTTTTTATTTGTTTTTTGTCTTTTAGATAAACTCTTTCTCTAAAACATCATACTGATGTGAAATTACGCCACAGTCGTTAATAATAAACCTCTACACTTTTGCATAATACTGTTTGCTTAGTTTGTATCTGTTCTCTCAACCGAACAACGTCCGTGTTTCTATGCAAATGTGTGTGTACTGACCATAGATAGACCCTGTAAATGTCTGTGTCCTGGTGCTGCTGAATGCATCGGTCCACTGGGAGTTGTGTAAACTTTTGACTGACGAGACATGAGGATCACGACGACTGATACATTCAGCATCAACAGCAACATGATATCCACAAAAATGACCAGAACATCCCTTTAAGTACTTAACTGGTTGGAAAGTGGCAAACTTTAATGTTAGTTTTGCCAAACTGACATAGAAATTGTCATTTTTATTTGGATGAGAGTGCACGCCTGAGTGCAGTGGACAATTCCTGCCACAAGATGTCATATTTGATTGATGGACCAGTGGGAGTATTTTGGGAGGTTTTTGTGTATTTTTTTCAGGAGCAAATGTTCAATGATGTGGTTTCAACATAACTGTTGAAATAACCAAAAAAAAAAAAGAAGTTAATTTGGCTTTTTAAGCTTCTATGCTGTGGCGAAAAAAATGTGTGTAACAATTTGTACTCACCCGGTGAGTGCTTTCCAAATGTGTACTTTTGGCCCAGGTAAAATGTTTTCCTGTTTTGTCTACTCTTTACCTACTAATACTACAAGGGACTTTTTTAATGGAGAAAACAGAGACCAGGCCTGACAGGTAACATTTGAAACGTGAGGCTGAAAGGATTCCATCTGTTAAAAAGCCCCTTTTTCTTTAAWAAATATATAGAAGGAAGTGAAGTCCTGTGCCA